ACCTTTTGGTTAGCAGCCAAACACTTAACCACTGCTCCACCACCAGGGCTCCAAAGAATCCCATACCGCTTCTTAAATCTTTTTGCGAAGGATGTGTCATTCTACATCTGCCCTAGGCAGCTTGTGAGATGAAGTGGTACACCCCCTTCCCCCTTCCTCGCCACCAATCCACCGCCTTGAGTTACTAGAAGGTGTCAGAAGAAAGATTTGGCTGTACTAAGAAGTGTACTTAATAGAAAAGTAACTTCCGTTTTTCATATCCAGGAAACAGCGGAAAAAGCTTCATGACCGGCTTCGGCAGAGTCTTCGGTCTGAGCGAAACAACATGGTGAACATGGCAAATGGGCCTCACCATCCTAACCCACCTCCCGAGAACGTTCAGCTGGTGAATGTACGTGGACTCTGGCCCATGGGAAAACCTGAGCATCTCGGCTCTGTTCGGGCGCCTTCAAGTTTATTTTCTAAAGCTCTTAGGCTCTTAGCTGTCACCATTAATCATCATGGTTTCCAGGAATCTGAAGTTTCTCCAGGAAAAAAATAATGGGGACATTTTTTACAGTGGATTTGGTTACTGTAAAACCAGCACATTTCCTCTTATAAAGTGTTCATTAAGGAGTTGGAATAATAATGTTGGATTTGTTTTGCAAGGAGCCCACAACTGAGGAACGAGAGTGGAAGCAAGGAAAAATAATAAAATTAACAATACAAGAATCACAAGGGAACGTTTTTAATTTTTTTTTCTTTTTTTTTGTAATTTGGAAATGAAGTCTACTCCAGTCTATAATTGATTAGTAGAGATAACTGAAGGAATTGAGAGCTATTTTTATTTGGGGCATTTTACAGCGCTGATTTATTGATTCCGATTTACAAAGGGAGAACTAGGGGCGTAGAAAGGCCAGGTGACTTCTCAAACATGCTTCTCGGTCGCAAAACTAGAAGAATGCAATGATTTCTTATTTCCTGGCTCTTGCTACACGAGGCCAAACCCTCAAGATGAAAAATATCCTTAATCATCTAAGTATTTTGTTTAAACTTTACTAATCACTTAGCTTTTAAATATAACTAGATCATGGAGTAATAGATGCTGGAGAGTGGTTAGAGATCATCTTCCAAACCTCCCTTTTTTGCAAATAAGGGCCAGAAATCACACATCTACTTAGTAACAAGGAGACCTGGTGACGCAGTGGTTAAAGCTCTCGGCTGCTAACCGAAGGGTCAGCGGTTCAAATCCACCAGTGGCTCCTCAGGAGAAAGATATGGCAGTCTGCTTCCATAAAGATTGCAGCCTTGGAGGCTTGGAAACCCTATGGGGCAGTTCTACTCTGCCCTATAGGGTCTCTATGAGTCAGAATTGACTCCACAACAATGAGGTTTTCATTTTGTTTTGTTTTGTTTTGTTTTGTTTTATTTAGAAGCAAGCAGGAGCCAGACTCAGTTCTCCTGGCTTTTGAAGTATTGCTGTTTCTATTCCATCACATGTCTTCTGGTCTTTTTAATTTCATGCTGATATTTGGCTTTTATAGATAAAACTTGAAAATCATATTTCACTACCATTTTCTATTCTATAGAAAAAGGTGTACTTTGTATGAACCAGATAGATCATAGACCCAAGTCCAGAGTTGGTGGTTATTATACCACCAGCAATTCTTGTAGCAAGTCCTCCAGGAGACTGTTGGAGTCAGGTGCTAATAATGTTAACATACTTTGCTGCTTTCCTCCCCTTAACAGCGTTCAGCAGAATGTTCTGCACAGTTGATAGATGCATTCACTACAGACATAACTGTAACCTGTCACTGTATATGTCAGAAGATAAAGGAAGTAGAATGACTCCTTGAATTCCAACTGTGGCTCATGCTGTGTGAACCTGGGCTTTCAACTTTCTAAGCCTTTAGATCCTCATTACGAAAACAGGCCTGAAAATAATACTTTTTTCAAATGTTCTTGTGAACATTTAATAAGATAAGCTACATAAAACACTTAGCCCAATGGCATTTACATATTCATTCAATTATCGTTAAATATTATTTTCATTGTATTCACTGAACTTACTTTATCTTCCAAGAAGCAAAAGTGAAGTGGTACACGGACTAGAAATAGGTCACTAGGTGTGACAAATTTGATGGTGTCCTCATCACCTTTTCTTTAAAGCAAGCTAGCTGTACTTGCTAGGAAGACCCACAAGGAACAGCCTTTCCACTAAGAGAACCAGGTAGTTTCAAGCATAAATTTAAGTTGTAGATTCTTGAGTTTCTTTACAGCCCACAATGTTATCAGACTATAAAGTGCTCTGTTTCATCTGAGACTATTTTTCCCTTGCTTCCCATTCCTTTTCCTGTTATTTGACTCAATTTGGTGTAAGTACTAACAGCATTTAAAACATAAATTTAAAGTGAGCCTCTCTCACGGAAAGAAAGCAATAATAACTACTGTGGTTTGATCATGCAAATAAAGTAGAATGTACTTGCAGTGAATATAAAGCCCTCTGTATTGTATGTGCTTTGTCAAGGTTTGCGACCTTGGTAATCACTCTGAGTTCTTCAACTCTCTCAGTAGCGTTGTTAGTCTGACTGCTGGCAAAGTTAAAGATTTCAGTTACACCACTAGGGCCTCATAGGCACTGGGAAGCTGAAAAAGAAAGGTAGATGCAAAAAACGGGTTTGTTTTCAATTCTTCTACTGACTTGAAATTTGAAATAAAACAAACCATCTATGCTTTTGTTTCACTCAAATATCTGTTAGTCTTCTTTGACTTGCAACAATGCATAAAAATGAATATTTGGTAGATATTTGTATTGAATTCCCGTCATGTTATCAACTGGAAGGAAAATTGAACAAATAGGTCTTTTTCTGATCAAATGTAGCTGTGATTGTAGGACCTATGTTACGTGCACATTCAGGGGGTAGTTCATTAACTCCATTCATCTAACCTAAATGCTGCAGTAGCCAGCATAGGATCTGCCATCTGAGCGCTGGAGAAATGGAATGTGTTATGAAGCATGTGTTCTAGAATAGCTTTCTGTGTGTGTGACAGTGTTAGAATTTTGATTTATGTGACTCTTCAAAGTGTGTCTCTTTGTTTATCCAGCAGTACGTGTCTAAAAATGTCATCTCCAGCGAGCATATTGTTGAGAGAGAAGCAGAGACGTCTTTTTCCACCAGCCACTACACCTCGACAGCTCACCATTCCACTACGGTCACCCAGACTCCTAGTCACAGGTATGAGAATTAAAAAAAAAAAAAAAATTCATGGCATTTCTCCAAGAATGAATTTCTGCACATTGCCTTCTGCTGTCACTGCCTAAGCGTCAAACAGAAGACATGAGGCAGTGAGGTATAGCAAAATGCATGATCTCTGGACAAAAACAGACTTGGGACATCAACTGGCCTGCTACTTAATTGCTATGTAAATACGAGCCTCTATTTTTCTATAATTAAAAACGGGGGTAATGATACGTCCCTCCCAGGATTGTTGCTCCTCAGTCTAATGATCGGCTTGGCCACTCAGTGAATGGCTTCACTACCCTGGGAGAAGTCTGTCTTTGATTCCATATAATGCTTAGAAGCTGACTGCCTGCCATCATTGTACTGCCCTGGCAAATGCCCATGGAAATGAGTTGGATAGCTGAACCCGAAGCTCCCAAATGCTCTGGTGACCTATACCTGAGGGCATGCTACCAAGGGCTGCAGTACACTTCCAAAAATAGCCCATAAGACAAATTGCTTCCTTGACCTAAACCATTCGGGAACACCAAATCTGTAAGAATACTTAGCACATAGTGGCATTTGATAAATATTTGTTGAATGACTGAACAAATGAATAGAGTCCCCGGGTGGCACGAACAGTTAGGCACTCGACTACTAGCCAAAAGGTTGGCAGTTCAAACCCACCCAGAGGTGCCTCAGAAGACTGGCCTGATGGTCTGTTTCTGAAAGCTCACAGCCTTGAAAACCCTATGGAGCAGTTCTACTCTGCACACATGGGGTCGCCATGAGTCGGAATCCACTCGATGGCAACCGACAACAATAACAGCATGCAAAGCTAGTCTGAATCAGAATTCTTTCTATACCGAATCTCTCCGTAGCAATTCTATCTGGAAACAAGGTTGTAGTGAGCTACTGATGCACTAATAATATCTGTCAGATCATTTCCTTTCATTTTCCTTTTTGCATATAATTAAAAAAGTCTTTGCCTCTCACATTTCCTCCTCAGCTGGAGCAATGGACACACTGAGAGCATTATTTCGGAAAGTCACTCTGTACTCATGATGTCATCGGTAGAAAACAGTAGGCACAGCAGCCCAACTGGGGGCCCAAGAGGACGTCTCAATGGCGTGGGAGGCCCTCGAGAGTATAACAGCTTCCTCAGGCATGCCAGAGAAACCCCTGACTCCTACCGAGACTCTCCTCATAGTGAAAGGTAAAACGGAAGGGCAAAGCTACTGCAGAGGAGAACCCCAGTCAGAGAATCCCCGTGAGCACCTGCGCTCTCACCTAAGGAAATCTACTGTAATCAGAATAAGGGGCAGCAGTTGCCTTGTTCTAGGAGTGCTCCTAGTTGATGAAGTCATCTTTTTGAGTGACTGAACGCATTTCTTCTGAGCTTCACGCATCGTCCGAGTGGCTGACAGGCAACAGACTCTTAAAGAGCTGGAAAGATTTGATGTGAAAGGTGCAGCCAACTTGGAGTTCCCAGCTCTGATCTTAGGCTTATGTGCACTCTGGGTCTCAGTTGTAACCTTAGAGAGATGGAATCCATGATTTATAAGGACCCTTCTAAAATTCCAATTTGCCAGTTATCCAAACTCTGATACAATGATCGAGCTGGCCTCATGCTCTCATGTGCTAACTCTTTCTTACCTTCCAGCTTCAGTTATCTCAGATCAAGGGCTATGGCATTGCTGACTTTCATGGGGGAGCAACTGTTTGTGTTCCACCATAAATATCCCTTCTGTGAAGTTCCAAGAAGGGATGAATAAACAAATCTATTGTATGCTGCATCTGGCAGTCTTCACAGGTGGTTTTCAAAACAGATAAATGCCTTTGCTATGCCCCTTTATTCCAAAATGTTTTGGCTTTCATCTGGGGAGATTGGGTTGCGTTGGGGAAGTTAACAGCAAAGGTAAACTAAAAGAGATGCTAAATAGGAATATTGGGTTATGGATTCTTTTTATCCATTTTCACCTAAGCTGAGGGAGAGTTAAACCTCACCAGCATTTCTAGCCCCACCAGTAAGCTGCTACCTGTTTGTTTTCAAATACAGTGTGTATGTGTGTCGGGGGGTTGTCTTGTTTTATTTGTTTTCTTTTTACTTTATTGTCATCTCAGTTTAATCTTTGTCCACTTACTAAGAGTTTACATAATGCCCAGTAGTCTTTACTTATTTGCTAGCTCCTTGGGTGAAGATTTTGATAGACTCTTTCACTCAGAAACTGGGAAGTACTTACAAAAAAGGATGATCAGTTCTTGGCTTCCATATAAAGCCTGCTGATCTCTTCTTCAAGGGCTTTATCCCCCAAATGTGGTTTCAAAGCTTTATGGAATTGGAGATTACCCTTCAATCTGTTTGTGGAAAAGGAGATAAGATCCAAAACTGGTTTAAAACATTAGTCTCAAATTCATCTAATTATAACTTTAGGTATTAAGGAAGTCTAACTGTCCTAATTCAATCTTTTTTTTTTTTTTAAGACTAAAAATGAGGTTAGGGATAAACTCTTCCTACATTACTAGATGTGACATTTATCTGTAAAGATTGACATTCCCTGCTGTGGTAGGCTTCCTTGGGTACCCTGAGTGTTATGCAGGGCTACAAAATATACCTGAACTGAGAGATCATGCAGAGCAAAGACGAATCACTGTTAAATGTTGGTTAAATTGGAATTAGTGTGTCTCAGAGAGCTTAGTTTAAGTATCCCCAAAGCAAAAAGTCTGAAGACTCAAGCTCCAAATATTTCAATCTCCTAGACACTTTCCCATTTTAGACACAGCTAGATCTCACATCCCTCTCTCTCTGAATCATGGCTGAAAAGCAGGAAAATTAATAGGTTTCCTGTTCCTGTTACCCAGAGTTCAGATGATCGTGTCCTGTGTCATCACAGGTCATGTCCAATTAGACCCTGTGAATGTTAATGTGAAGAAAAGAGTCGTTTAGTGCTAGGCATTGGTTACGTTTTTATCAAAAGCTGAGAAATGTGACTCTGACAAAGCCACATCCTCCTTAGTGCCCCAAACCAGGTTCTTCTTATTCTGGGGGAAGAAAGCATGATGTGGTCAAAACGGTGCCCTCAATGTCTTGAGAGATGCACTGAGCGTTATTAGACAGAGCATAGCCTAAGAGAACATGGTATCTCCACCTCTTGAACAGTCACGAAAAAGGAAACCAAACACTGATGCAACCGAGGGTTTTGGAAGAGAGATCAATGGGAGGTTGGACATAGACTCCACTATGGTAAAACAAATCAAACAGAAGGTTCTTTTAGGCTTACCTTTGAATGCCTTGAACACTGGGATGGCTAGTTGCAAACTGAATGCTAAGAAGTAACATTTCGTGGAAAAATGAAACGCACACAAATGTATTGCAGTGTTACCAGGAATAAATCTAAGTTACTATGCTCTTTTTTTTTCATAAGACATAACCTTATAGCTGAGCTAAGGAGAAACAAGGCCCACAGACCCAAATGCATGCAGATCCAGCTATCAGCAACTCATCTTAGATCTTCTTCCATTCCCCATTTGGGCTTCATTCTCTAAGACCCCTTGGCTTTTAGGAAGGTATAGTATTTAAGTAATACTTCTTTCCCTTCCAAATCCCTGAGCCTTGGCCCTTAAAAACTGAGAGCTTTCCAGGACCTAGTCCCCTGTCTTTGCTCACAGTCTTTAACTTTAAATTGTGATGATGCGGAAAACGCCCAAAGCTTTGATGAGCTAGGCATTTTAGCTGATCTTTGCATGTGCCTCTGTGAGAAAACTCTTGGCTTCATAACTGTAGATTCCAAGGGTGCTGTATTTCCTAGTGTAAAAATCGAGACGTATGCCATGAATAGAAATTCTTTATTCTCTGATTATATAATATCATGAACTCTGTCCCCTTACCCTCCCTGCTCTATGCCTCTTATTCCACCACACTTATGTGGGGTATTCTGTGCTCACACAGGTATGTGTCAGCAATGACCACCCCGGCTCGTATGTCACCTGTAGATTTCCACACGCCAAGCTCCCCCAAATCACCCCCTTCGGAAATGTCTCCACCTGTGTCCAGCATGACGGTCTCCATGCCCTCCATGCCTGTCAGCCCCTTCATGGAAGAAGAGAGACCCTTACTGCTGGTGACACCACCACGGCTTCGGGAGAAGAAGCATGACCACCACCCTCAACAATTCAACTCCTTCCACCACAACCCTGCACGTGAGAGTAACAGCCTCCCCCCTAGCCCCTTGAGGATAGTGGAGGATGAAGAGTATGAAACGACCCAAGAGTACGAGCCAGCTCAAGAGCCTGTTAAGAAACTCGCCAATAGCCGGCGGGCCAAAAGAACCAAGCCCAATGGCCACATTGCCAACAGGTTGGAAATGGACAGCGACAGAAACTCTGAGAGCAGTAACTCTGAGAGTGAAACAGAAGATGAAAGAGTAGGTGAAGATACACCTTTCCTGGGCATACAGAACCCCCTGGCAGCTAGTCTCGAGGCAGCCCCTGCCTTCCGCCTGGCTGAGTGCAGGACTAACCCAGCGGGCCGCTTCTCTACACAGGAAGAATTGCAGGCCAGGCTGTCTAGTGTCATTGCTAACCAAGACCCTATTGCTGTATAAAACATAAATAAACACATAGATTCACCTGTAAAACTTTATTTTATATAATAAAGTATTCCACCTTAAATTAAACAATTTATTTTATTTTAGCAGTTCTGCAAATAGAAAACAGGAAAAAAAACTTTTATAAATTAAATATATGTATGTAAAAATGTGTTATGTGCCATATGTAGCAATTTTTTACAGTATTTCAAAACGAGAACGATATCAACGGTGCCTTTATGTTATGTTGAGAGCAAGTTTTGTACAGTTACAGTGATTGCTTTTCCACAGTATTTCAGCAAAACCTTCCATGTTCAGTTTTTGCTGGCTTCTTGTGCATTGCATTATGACGTTGACTGGATGTATGATTTGCAAGACTTGCAACTGTCCCTCTGTTTGCTTGTGGTTACGCCCAACCAGTACACCTTGTAATGGCACATCCATCCAAATACTCTTCTCTTTTCTAAGGAGTTTCCTTTGCTTTCAGTATATGAAATGAGTTGTGTCTGCTCTGCCAGCCAAAGGTTTGCTTCATTTGGGCTCTGAGATAATAGTAGATCCAACAGCATGCTACTATTAATTACAGCAGGAAACTTGCATTACGCCATGTTAAATATTAGGAAGAAAGTAATACTGTGATTTAGAAAAAAAAAAAACACTGTAGAAGACAGTTTGCTCCTACTAAAAGGAGCCACCATTTCCTTTATTTTGATTTAGGTTTCTGGACAAAACGCAACCATTTTAGGGCTAGCTTAGAAAATGGGTTCTGGTTTGCCACCAGGTAAATCTAGCACCCAATGAGAGGACTCTGTCACTTTGTCTCTGGGGGATGATACAGCAGTTCATCCAGATGAAGATCAAACCATGGCTGATAAAGGTGCAATCATTACTGACTTGTCTTTTTCACCGATTTTGGAACCGGAGATTAGTTGTGTCTTCTTGGCTCCAGAAGAGGCATGCTATGGCTCCAACTCAAACAGCACACTCAGCAATTGGTCTGAAATAGTCCTAGAGTGAAATGTGCCGTCTATGCATGGTGACAACTTGTCATCCTAGGGAAATACAGCTGTTGTAGAGTGAGGGGGGCGGGGAACGCATAGAAGACACGGGTGGAGAGCAGCTGTGTGACTTGGTTGAAATTTTAAACCATTTTGTTGACCACCCCTCTGTCCCATGAGATTTTTCTCTTGTTTTTCAGTGTTGCCTTGATTAGGTCATAACTATGCATGAACATTTTTGGTCAGGAATGGCCAGTGTGCATGTGGTTTGTGACTCATAAGAAGCTGCCATGAGTGACGGTTCATCAGCATATGCCTGTAGTGTTGGAAACTTTGCACCTGTACTTGCAGAAGTGACCCCCACCTGTGTCCTGCCCTCTCGATTTGCAGCCTGTATCACCATTTCCCCCTCTCTTAATTTTTGCTTTATTGTCACAAAGTAGGTCTAAGATTGGTCTCAACTTCTTATGTTCTCTTGTGATCGTAAGTCCAAGGAAGGCCTGTGTGTATTAACATTCAAAGAAGTGCTAATATCAGGAAAATAAGAGAAGTTTTTTTTTTTTTATTTTTAAATGGAGGACTTTTTATGCCCCCTGCTATCTGTGAAATCAGGGCTGGAGCTTTACTTAGGTTCCAAGTAGCCTCCTAGGAGCCATGGGGCACCACGAGGAACAGATTGGCAGGAGGTTCAAAATACCAGGCTGAAGTCAATGAAAGTACCTGCTTCTTATTTGCAGGTGAACAGAATCTATGTCTTCCCCAATTCTCTGAGTTAAAAATAAAAGGGAGGAAATGACACGCAAATAGGTCTTAGAAGGCAAATGCAAGCTGAGAATGAGTCACGTTGTTAAGCTCCTATGTTTCTATGATCCACAGAATGCCTGTCTGCAGGTCCTTGAAGTTGCTCTGAGTCCATGTATCCCAGTGTTTCCTTCTTTGTTCACGTACAGCTTTCTCTGTGCTCCACAGTATCCCAGTTTGTTAACCACCACTGCAGAGGTCCTGGGAGACTGCACGTGCTGCCCTGATTTCCCGATTCTGTGCAGATGAGTTCAGCTCATGGCGGGGGGAAGAGAACAGTCAGCCCAAAGAGGGTCTCTAAATTACTCAGATATTGCCTTCGAAGGCCTTGCCTTGTCCTTTGACCATTTCAATAAAAAAAAAAATTCCTATCATTCATTAAAACACAAATTTCAATTTCAACTTCTTTGGGCATTGAGGCATTCTGATACATCGTTCTGAAGAATTTCAGGAATAAAATAGAATCTTCTATTAGAGCAGTGAAAAACATTGTCCTCATTACGAAAATTGCTGTAAAGTTTCAAATTCCGAGTACATATGAAAATTTAGGCCAAGAGGAAATTTTCTTTCAACTTGATTCTGGTCACTCATAGATGTGGCACTTTAGTTGGGACAGCCTTTTGATCCGTAGAATAAGCGATTCCCTTGACAAGCAAGGCCAGCTGACTGCAGGGCCACCTGCTTGACTATGGATTTGTGTTCACAGGGACATCTCTGCGATGCTTAATTGCCACATCACTCTCAACCATCCCTGTATATAAACTCAGTCAGTGCAGTGGCAATCCAAAGACGGCAAGTGAACCCACATTCCCAAGCTAGCTTGGGTTTTATGGGAATGGAAATTGCCTGAAAGTTTGAAAGCAGCTTTGCTTCATTTCCTGGGCCCAAAATCATAATCCCATTGACGGGTATGCAGTGGAGCATAATATATGCAAAACTCCTTTAATCACTCTAAATTCCTTTTCTGTTTCCCTCTCCCTTCTTGCCTGGTATGACTTAATTTTTTTGTTTTGTTTGTTTGTTGAAGAGTGCCTGGACAGCCTCCTTCTCACTGGGATGTATGCAAATGTATTCCACAACAGCAGTGTGCCACCTCCTGCTTGTTTCAGTGTGACTGTCGTAAGATAGGTGGAGTTTATCCAGGGTAACTTGCTCAGTAACGATTCCTTTTTTGGTCTGGGGTTGAAAGGTGCATGGTTCACATGGGTGAAAATAAGGAAGGCTTGGTCTTACCTTTGAGTACTGGCTATATTCCACCAGCCACAGAGATTTCAATCCCACAAAGACCCAGGAAACACTGCAAAGAAATGCAGACAAAAGGAAATGGCCACATATCACAAATTCTCTTCTATATTCTTTTGTAAATACATATTGTACATTACTTGGATGTTTTCCTAAATCATTTACTGTCTCTATGAGTTAATGTCAATTTTTACTCTCTCGACTTACTGTGTAACATTGTAAATAACAATGTCCTTTATTATTTATATTTAAGCATCTAACATATAAAGAGAGTTGTTTTCATATAAGTTTAAGATAAATGTCAAAGTATATGTTTTTTTTTATTTTCCTTTTCTTTAAAATTATGTATCTTTTCCTTTTTCTTTTTTTAAGAATAATTTATTGTCGAGGAGAAAGAATGTATATGTAATTGGAACTGTTTGAAGAATGCACATTTGAAGGCCGTGAGGTACTGATAAAACTAAAGAATTTATTATCCAAAATACTAAGCAATAAGTAATTGTGATTTATTTAAAGTTTTGTTCATTTCATGAAAGACATACTGCAATAAAAATGCTTCTCTGTGGAGACCTGGCAGTGTTGCTCAGCAGACGAACGTTTCAGTCTGTTAGACCAGCACCTTCATCTTAATCGCACAGTTGTACTCATTTAGGAACGTGTCTGGTGGACGCCATGATCATCTTGTCTGTCCATTGCTTCTGTCGCACTGCCTACTCTTGAGACATCTTCTGCCTACTGATTCCTTTTACCACTTTATTCCTTGTCGAAGGGGCCACAGCCAAGCAATATGACATCTCCTTTTCTCCCATACACAATGACACATCAGAGAGAACATGATCAGCCATGAGTGCCTGGAAAAAGAATGCTATTGTGGTTCAAATAGTATGATGGCCACATAGCCTAAACGGTAACCACTTAGAATCTGGCCACGCTAAGCTTCCTTGTTGCTTCAGTAAACTGATTTTCCATCAGGCCCACAATTTATTGATTCGCAAGTTTAAGAGAAGAAAAGGCTGAACTGGGTTCCTTCCTCTTGTTCTATTCAATAAAACAAATCAGAATAAATGCCCACCATGGTACTGCTCTGGGAGGAGCCTATGCATGAGAAATCTCCCTCATTCTAAGACTTAGTCCTAGAAATGAGGATATTACTTTTATTATTGAGATTAGCCTAAACAAAAGCCGTATTTTAACACATTGATATTTGCATGGTACTTTTTATAGCTCTTCAAGCATCTTACTCGTTATTCCAGGCAAGTTAAGGGCTTCTGAAGTATATGGAGTAGAGGTTGGCAATCTTTTGGGGTACACAGTAGCCTCCTTTGGAGTTTCATCGAAGTCCACCACCATATACGTACACCATTCCTATTACCCGGTAATAGTTCTCGTAGTGTCATTTCTGAAAGAGTCTGGATGGCTAGGAGATTTAAACTGTGGCCTGCGACTGTGTTCTGTTTTTACTGTTTATATTGCTGAATTTTCAAATATCCTCACAATTGTGTTAACACTGACTTTCACAGACATACACATACTCAAAGACAAAAAAAAGGCAAACACAAATCTGAAGCCACCACATTCTTTCATCGTCCAGCTGTCATTCAGCCAATCAGCCATCCAGCAAATCAGGGTAGTAGGCTTAAAACCTGAGACTTTTCTCATACCTCAAGTTCATGCTGATGCTTTGTCCACCCCAAAAATTGAAAACTGCAAGCATCTGTGTAGTTTAGGTTAAAACAGTTTACCTACGATATCTTGGTATTTGAAGCAGAAGTATGAGTTTGGTAGAGAGTGGTATGGAGCAGTGAACATTCACAAGACAATATAGTCAAATTAAATATTTCTATAATTATTACAATTCTCCATTCACTTCAACAGTGTAGAGTCTTGAATATCTGACCCACGCCAACACTGCAAACTCGCAAATGATCTTGTCTTTCCAATCTAAGGTGAAACCTGCAAAGTCTTCCCAATCATTAG